CTGTAGATGCCTCACAGTGTAAAATTAGGTTCTCTTCTCCCTCCTTACGCACCAGCACTCCACCCCCTCTACTTCATGAGTGCTTCTTTCAAAGCTGATGACATCTACATCCCTGCTGTTAGGCCTTCTCTGGTGCATCCTGGCAATGATTCTGAAAACTGCAGATCAATACACAGAGTGACCGTGTAAGTCTCCTTCACTGTGGAATCAAGTTATATTCCGGTTACACCTCAGTTCTCATATCAGATGGTATTTTTCTGGAGCTTTTACCTGCCTTTCTCTTAGACTCCTTATCTTTATCATTGCCCCATTTGTTTGCAAACTACTCACTGTATTAGATATTAAATAATTTTTAAAGGAGGCAAGCCTAATTATGCAAGGGTGTTTAATTTGTAAAACTTCATCAAGCTATACATCTATATGTGCATTTTTCTGTTTATGTTACACTCCGATTTTTAAAAATTATAAAGGAAGTGTTCCCTCTTTCCTCATAAACTGTGAAGGAATAAATACCAAGGAAGAAATAATTTTGTAGAGCACACTTACATATTTATATTGTTTATCAGCCATACTATTGTAGTAGTATAGTTAATACATGATAGTATAGCACATTATGTTATCAGCTCTACTATTAACAAAATGGATCTTGTAGACACCATAATACCTATCTGCTAGCACCGATAATAATGACAATAATAACAGCTAGCATATGTTTATTGAGCACTTCCCAAATGCCAGACATTGCCAAATGCTTCGTATTATCACATTTAATCCTCACAACAACCCTGTTATTATCATCTTGTTATTATTACAATATTACATTATTATCATATTGTAATAGATGGCTACATTGAAGGTTTTTTTTTAATCTTTATTGTTGAGAGTATTACAGGTGTCCCATTTTTCCCCCAATTGATCCTCTCCACCTCGCTCCCACCCCCTTCCCAGGCCTTCACCCCCTTATTGACTGTGTCTATGGGTTATGCATATATGCATACAACTTCTTTGGTTAATCTCTTCCCACCTTTCACCCCCATTCCCTCTTTCCTCTGAAATATGATCGTCTGTTGCATGCGGCAATGTCTCTGGATCTATTTAGTTCGTCAGATTCTTTTGTTCATTAGCTTCTTCTTAAAGAAGACCCTTCAACATTTCCTGTAGTGCTGGTCTGGTGGTGATGAACTCCTTTAGCTTTTCCTTGTCTGAGAAGCTCTTTATCTGGCCTTCAGTTCTAAATGATAGCTGTGCTGGGTAGAGCAATCTTGGTTGTAGTTCCATGTTTTTCATCACTTTGAATATTTCTTGCCACTCCCTTCTGGCCTGCAAGGTTTCTGCTGAGAAATCAGCTGACAGTCGTATGGGTGCTGTGGGCCAGTTTGGGTTCCTCTTGTTTGGGACCCTCTGTGCTTCCTGGACTTGTAAGTCTATTTCATTCCCCAGGTAGGTGAAGTTTTCTCTCATTATTTTTTCAAATAGGTTTTCAATTTCTTGATCTCTTTCTTCCCCTTCTGGCACCCCAATAATATTAATGTTGGGTCGCTTGAAATTGTCCCAGAGGCTCCTTATACTATCTTCATATTTCTGGATTCTTTTTTCTTTTTGCTCTTCTGGTTGGGTGTTTTTTGTTTCCTCATGTTCCAAATTGCTGATTTGATTCTCAG